GAGAGAGAGAGAAATTAACATGGAGATTTTCCTTCTTATCCCTTTTGTAGTTTAGTTTTACTCATATTTTTACTGACTCATATAGCCCTTTTGTACGCCATACATAACTTTTACTGCGTCATGGCAGTATTTATTGGAATGTGGTACACATTTTCAAAAAGACTTCAAAAGATAAAAGTTATATAAGCTATAACTAAAGAGAAGGGAAGTAAATAATTGAAAAATCAGTTTATGGTAATGAAGTCTTTCCTCAAGCTTTTTAACTCTAAACGCAGCAATGGAAATGAAGTTAACATCCAAAATTTAAACAAACACATACACAGTGCAAGACCTGCTCACGAAGGACATGCCAAATAAAGGATCTGGACATTCAGGCCATGTTTACACTAGGAAACTATTTTGAAATTACTAAATTCAACTTAACTCCCAATTTAACAAATTTGAAATTGTGTGTCCTCGCTATGTGGAAGCATCAAAATTAGTCTGAGGCAGTCTCTCTTAATGTGGACGCGCTACCTCAGACTTAGAGCCCCAGGAAGCACCGGGGAGTAATTAGTTTGAATTACTCTGGGGCATTGTCATTATGAAATAGCAGTACTGGAGCATCCATACTACCGTTATTTTGAAATAACTATTTTGGAATTAGCATTTTTCCTGATGAAAATCATGAGTACAGAATTCAAATTCAGTGGCCCATTATTTCAAAATAATGGGCTTGGTAGTGTGGCCGTTCCACTTATAAATTCGACCTAAGGGGGGTTATTTCAAAATAAAGTCCTAGTGTAGACCAGGGGGCTCAGTTAACTTCAAAATGAATGGAAATTGAGCATCTAAATCCCGTCAAGCATTTTTGAAAATCTCAGCCTCAAAACATATTCCTGTGTTCAGCAGATCTTGCTATCTCAGTGGGTCGACCAGGACATATTTCTGTCCTTAATTCAGTTTTCATTTTAACTTTGCAGTTTACCTTTAAGTAATCAATCTTCTAACTATTAATTGGGCTTCTCAGATATCTCCTATCATAAAAGGCTCCAGACTCTGCCAAGAATGAGATTACAATGAAGATTGGTATTTATCATTATCTGCCTCTCTCTTTACAAATTATTTTAAAAACAGCAAGACTCATAAAGACCCTGCATGCTAGACATCTGTTAATAATACACACGCACATCAATGGGAATAAAAGCAAGTCCTATTTTAAAAACTACACAAGGAATGCAGCTACCGGAACAGTCATTTTTCATTTTCTTATCTAGTTAGTAGGAAATTGGTCCCCACTTTATAATAGTCCGAAAAGACTTTGAGTCCTTTATTTTTCACTCATACGGAAAGGACCGAAATGCTTGCCAGTCTTAGGCTTTCAGCCTGGTTTGCAAAACCACGTATCCCTATTAAAAACACAAGAAATAGGCAATGGGCAGTAATGTTTCCCATATGTTGTGCATTTAACAGTAATTGCAGCTTGATCTGCTCTACAAATTATAGGGCTGATCCTGCCGGCTGCTGAGGGCCCTCAGCTTTCATTGACTTTAACAGGGGGTTGAAGGTTTCAGCATTTCACACCTTCAGGCCCTGTAACAAAACTGATAACTAATTTCTGTAGATGGCTGATCCTGTTCTGATGGACATCCGTGAGACAGGATCAAACCACACAGCAGTCCTTCCGCCTCACTGGGAGTTGGATCAGGCCCTAAATTAATTTTTAAGATAAGCTTTTTTTTTTTTTTTTTTTTTAACAGGCATATCAAGTTACTGGGTGAATGTTGCATAGAATAGCAATTGTACTGGCATAGCAGGGTAAACAACACCTCGGTTTCATAGGCTGGACCCAAGTTTAAGCTTATGTAGTTTTGTGTGCACTCATTAGGTCTGTTACGCATTCACTGTGCTTTATCTTGATTGAATAAAACATTAATGAGATAATCAAAATGAATGCTTTTCTTTGGCTGTCCCATAAGCATGTCTGGAATTACACAACAAATGACTGCTGGAAAATGACTGGTGTAAAACTGGAAACATGGTGCCATCTGGCTTACATGTAGTTTCATGATCAATCAGCATCAAATTAGAACAATAAATTAATATTAAAGTTGAAATTAAGTGCAGATACCAGTTGTAGATGCATACTTACAACTTTTAGGCGAGGTTGAGCAATGAAATGCCCAAAGCTACATAGAATCATAGAATCCGAGGGCTGAAAGAGACCCCCGGAGGTCATTGAGTCCAGCCCCCTGCCCAAAGCAGGACCAATCACAACTAAATCAACCCAACCAGGGCTTTGTCAAGCCAAGACTTAAAAACTCTAGGGATGGAGATTCCACCACCTCCCTAGGGAACCCATTCCAGTGCTTCACCACCCTCCTAGGGAAACAGTTTTTCTTAATATCCAACCTAGACTTCCCCTACTGTAACTTGAGACCATTGCTCCTTGTTCTGCCATTTGTCACTACTGTGAACAGCCTCTCTCCATCCTCTTTAGAACCTCTCTTCAGGAAGTTGAAGGCTGCTATCAAATCCCCCCTCACTCTTCTCTTCTGCAGACTAAATAAACCGAAATCCCTTAGCCTCTCCTCATAGGTCATGTGCTCCAGCCCCCTTATCATTTTGGTTGCCCTCCTCTGGACCCTCTCCAATGCGTCCACATCCTTTCTATAGTGGGGCGGCCCATAACTGGACGCAGTACTCCAGAGGTGGCCTCACAAGTGCCAAATAAAGGGGAATAATCACTTCTCTAGATCTGCTGGCAATGCTCCTCCTAATGCAACCTGATATTCCATTCACCTTCTTGGCTACAAGTGCACACTGCTGACTCATATCCAGCTTCTCATCCACTGTAATTCCCAGGTCTCTTTTTGTTGAACTGCTACTTAGCCATTCGGTCCCCAGCCTGTAACAATGCTTGGGATTCTTCCATCCCAAGTGCAGAACTCTACACTTGTCCTTTTTGAACCTCATCAGATTTCTTTTGGCCCAATCCTCTAATCTGTCCAGGTCACTCTGGACCCTATCCCTGCCCTTCAGCGTATCTACCTCTCCCCCTAGCTTAGTGTCATCCACAAACTTGCTGTGGGTGCAATCCATCCCCTCATCCAGGTCATTAATAATGATGTTGAACAAAAACTGGCCCTAGAACCGATCCTTGGGGCACTCCGCTAGAAACCAACTGCCAACCTGACATCGAGCTGTTTATCACTCCCCGTTGGGCCCAACAGTCTAGCCAGCTTTCTATCCATCTTACTGTTCATTTATCCAATCCATACTGCCTTAATCCTTAATCCTTCCTACATCTGGTTGTTTTTTCAATAGATCCTTTGATTAGAACTTATAAATTTCAGAGAGGGAAGAAATCAAACTTGTTAAAAAAAGAACCTCAGGAAACTACATGGCCACATGATTAAGCAAGACCACAAAGGAAGAAGAGAGCAAGCTTCTGTCTCTGCCACAGGGTAGCCCAGAGCAGGGCAAGATGTGATATGGCTTCCCTAACAGTTTGATTCATCCAGCGGACTGCCTCTGGCCACTTTTTATTTATAGCCTGCTGCCTGTGCCACTGAATTTCCAAGCGGTGGCTCAGGCAGCAGGATCCTATTTAAATGGCTCATGGTCATGGCACTACCTGGCAAGGGCCAGAGCTGCAAGCCTTTTAAATAGTTACAGGAACCCTGAGAGGTTGCCAGGCAACATGGTAGAGGTGGGGCTGAGAGTTGCGAACCCTTTATTGTGTTTTTAATTTAAAGCCTCCAGCCCCAGACAACTCTGGGGGAAGGCTAGTCCCAAGCCCCACCCCTTATGCCTAGGCCCCGCCCCTTCTGGGGGTGAAGCCAACCCATGACCACATAGCAAAAATCATCAAGTGGCTCCCCTGTTAAAATTATTGCCCACCCCAGGATAGTCATTTAGCCCTTGGCAAGTAACTTAAATGCGCTCTGCCTCTGTTTTCCCCCTCTGTAAAATGGGGTGAGTAGCACTAACCAATTTATAGAGGTGTTTGGGAGGATTCTTGGGATTTTTCACTATCTGGAAAGCATTTTTATAGTGTTCATGGCAGATCGAGAAATGAGATAAAAACACAAAATATTCCTGCCGGAAGGTTGCAATATAATGCTACTTTATTCTATAGAATTTAGAATATCAATACACAAGAATCCAAATCCACCGAGAGGCTCAGCAAGCTCCTCCTTAAAATAGACATTACCCAGCCCTTGGCCGGATGATTGCTGGTAACACAATTGCACCCTTCTCTGCAGAGGCCCCTGGCCCCCAAGCAGGACCAGGAACCCACCCTTCCCCCCCTATTTAAAGTAATAGTTCACAATTGTAAGCCAGTTTTCATCTCGCAACTTTGAGGTGCTCCGCTGTAAAGCTCTCCATAATGCAGACTGTTACAGCTGCTACAATCATCATCAAGCATTCCACAATAGCTCTGTAGGAGACCTATAACCTGAATGGGCCACGCTATGTCCTCCTCCAGAAAAAAACCCCTTGGATGGATGTAGGTGGAAAGAAAACATCATACATTTTCGGAAAAATTATTCTGTTGCATGGGTGGGGTTTTCCCTGAGAACCAGAACTCTGTATTTTATTTATATTATGCTGCAGTCTGCCAAAAATCATATGACAGATTTTCCAGGAAATCTTCATTTCCTTAGATTCCCAGATCTCTGAAACCCTCCTCATATACTAATTCCTGTCTCTTTTTTGATCTCCCCATCTCATGCTTAATTCTCTTCCTCGTTCTAAGAAATTGTGTTACATTCCCTTTGCAACACAGTGCAGCGCCTGTGCGTAACCCACTGAATCCCTCAGCAGTAGTTCTGGGTGTGCAAAGAATACGGGACTGGGATGGATGTATCCAAAACCATTGTAAAAACGTACAGAATCTAGAGTTCCAAGCACCAAAATCTGCACATCAGAGAAACAGCCCTTCAGCTCAAGCCCCACTATCCTGAATCAGTTGGCACAAGCCAGCTGTGAGGTTTTATTCTGCTGTATAGACATACCTGTAGAGAGCTTTCATCAGGCTCATGGTGAAAACAGCTAACCCAAAAGTCATGAGACAAACCTGCAGAAACAAAGGAATTTAAGTTTAGATATCCTATCTCCTTCCAGATGGATCCTCTTGGAGGGAAGATAACTCACCAGGGGAGGGAATCCACGTTGAAAAGTAATTAGTATAGTATTAGAGTCCCATTCAGTGACATAAAAAGGCAGACAACTGAAAAGTGACAAATTTTGTAAGTGTTTCTATAGTAATGTGAGAAGTTTAAATACTATGGTGGATTAATTTAAATACCTGGTATTAAATAAGGATATTGATGAAATAGGCCCAAAACACCTTTGGTTAAATAGTAATAACCAATGGGGCACAATTATACCATGGTTCAAAATATATGGAAATATGAGATGAACATTTCTTGATACTATTCATGATGCTTCTTGGAGCAGTTAGTCCTGGAACCCACAAGGGGAAGGGCAATTCTTGATTTAGTCCTAAGTGGAGCACCGAATCTCGTTGAAGAGGTGCAGATAGATAGCTGAAACACCCAGTAACAGTAACCAAAACATAACTAAAAGTAATATCCTCGTGGCGGGAGTGGGGAGATATCAAAGAAGCCAATTTAATTTCACAAAGTGGGATGACACAAAAATGAGGAATCTTACTGAGAGGAACAGAACATATGAGAAATGCCTGCAAAGTGCATGGAAACTTTTTAAAAATACTGTAACAGAGGCTCAAAATGAATGTATATTCCAAATTAAAAAAATAGTGAAAGCGCCCACAAGATGCCACTACAGCTAAACTTCAATATAATAAAAGCAGTGAGAGGCAAAAAGGCATCATTTCAAAACTGGAATTCGGATCCTACTAAGGAAATTAGAAAGCAGCATAAACCCTGGCAATGTGTGGGGTGGCTGTCCCACTCTGGCCAGAGGGGATTAAATCAGGCTGGAGGGAGCCTGCACAGAAGTCTGGCCAATCAGAAAGGGTCTTGTAAGAAGCCAATCAAAAGGCAGCTTGCTGGGGCCACCCTGGTTATAAGCAGATGCTGGGAAAAGCAGAGAGCATTAGGAACCTGACCAGGGAAGGTATAGGATACATTTCCTGAGAAGCACTTTAGAGGGAGCAGGACAAAGGAGTGAAGGAGGGCAGGACAAAGGTGCCACCAAAAAGTCCCTGCGCCAGGACCCAGAGCAGTGAGTGGGCCTAAGTCTCCCCCATTTGCCCCTGAGATGAGGGGTTAGACTGGCTTCATTTAGCCAGAGTGGAAGGTGTAGAGACTGAGGATTGCTGATATCCCAAAAGGGAGCGTGGTGGGCACTGCCAAAGCACATTGTCCTAAAGAGGTCGCCGTGGTCTGGGAGCGATGAGCGTAGAGAGAGTACGGAGCAATGATGGGTGAGACACAAGCCAGAAGGGGGAGCCCTGCTGAGGATTGAGCTAATTCCCAGTCTGGCCTGCAGGAGGCACCATGCTGGTGAGTCTCAACCCTGTTATACACCTCAAATATGAAAAAGTACAACTTGGCAGGCCAAAAACAAAGAGCAACTAGTAAGAGAGTCAAAAACCAACAGCCATTTTTGTAATTACATCAGAAGCAGGAATCCTGTCACACATTTAGTGGGGCCACTGGATGATTCAGGCGCCAAAGGAGCACTCTAGGAAGACAAAGCAGAAGATGTGGGAGAGATTTCCACACTTAAGTCTTTCTTTTTAGGTGGCAAATCTGAGGAACTGTCCCAGAATGAGATGTCACCTGGGGAGGCTTGGGGACAAATTAATACACTATACAGTAATAAGGCACCAGGACCAGATGGTATTCACCCAAGAATTCTGACAGAACTCAAATATGAAATTGCAGAATGACTAACTGTGGTATGTAACCTGTCACTTAAATCAACCTTTGTAGCAGATACCTGAAGGATAATGGAACAGATTCTATTAAAAAGGTTCCACAGGCAATCCTGGTAATTATGGACCAGTGAGCCTAACTTCAGTGCTAGGAAAATTGGTTGCACCAGAGCACACCTACTTACTTTCACCTCTGCGTTCAAGTCAGTGGTAGGAGAATAACTGAAGTGTTCCTAGCCTTTGTTTGCCAGAAGCTGGGACTGGATGACAAGCAATGGATCACTTGATGATTATCTGTTTTGTTCATACCCTCTAAAGCATGAGGCATTGGCCCACATCAGAAGACAGGATACTGGGCTAGATGGACCATTGGACTGGCCCAATATGGCTGTTCTTGTGTTTTTATGAGGTAAAAATTTATTATCTTAGATCATGCTGTAGTTATAGGTGTGGAACCAAATGCTTCTCTTAGGTACACCCATTATTAGTACTCATGTTTTCAAAATCACTCTCCAAGTGTAAGGGCTCTGGTCTGAGCAAATGACTGCTGAAATTAATGGGAATTTGTCCCTTGAATTGAACATACATTGGCTATGCTCTTAATGGAGTGCTGTGGAGGGAAGGGAAGATGACCCAAAAAAGAAAGATTCAACCAGGGTGAAGAAAAAGGAATATACAAAAGAGCCAATCTCTCCAACATTCCAGCATTTATGCAGGAAGATAAAATGTATCTTTATATTTAGCTAATTCATAAGTTATAGCTTTATTTAATTTTCCCATAAGTTCCTGTATTGCACTTAAAAGAAGAATGATAGAAGCTGATTCCTCTGTGAGAGCCTAATTATTGGCTGCATTTTCATTGGAATATCATTAAGGTTAGCAGATACCAAGACACAGTTCTGATGGATAGGTGGGCCCAGCACATGGATTTCAGTGGAGTTATACTTTTTCATGCTGTTGCTGAGTATAGTCCCATGGGAGAGTGGGGGGACACACTGACTCCCACTGAGATCAAGTAGTTCTTATCACATACTGGAAAAAGATCTTAGTGAAAGATAAGACACGCAAATCCAAAACTAATGCTGTGGGGTCACGGTAATTTCTTCTCCCCCCTTGTCTAGCACAGGTGTTAAAATGCTGAGCTGCAAAATAGGTCTTGGGGGACTTTAACTGAACATATTTCAAAGGCTTGCAAACCTGAATGGAAAACTCTGGGGTGAAAAAAGGGGCAAAAGGTCATTGGTGTAACCGAAAAGACCGTGTGACAGATTTGTTTTTCCATCAGAAGTTGACAGGTGAACTGTGTACATCACATGTGATAGTGCCAAAGAGTTGACAGAATGTCAGGAATCGGTATCAGGCTTCACGTTAGCCGTCTCTCACTCCATCGCCACTTCAAGCACCAACATTTGTTGAGTGAGGTCTTCTCCAGTGAGATGTGTTTTAAGAAAATAAACAAACAAATGAGTTAAACAAAATCATGAAGGGCACCCAGAGAAAATATTCAGGACATTATGGAATATGCATAGAATATGGGGAATGCTTTTTTAGCCATACGTGGACAGTAAACAACAACAGAAAATATTCACACCTGCACTGGGAATCCTACCTAAAGGAATCCAGCCAACTAATTGAAACAAATATTTTCATCCTTTTCTAGCCCTGAGGCATTTTAATGTATATTGCCAAGACTGAAAGTCAAAACACAGGGGAAAGGGCAAACAGAAAGCAGCCATAAACCAAATCCTGCTTTCTTTACATATGTGAAGAGTGACACTGTGCCAGCTTCAGTAGTTCTTACCTGAGCATGTCTGGAAAAGTTTGTGTCAATGAGCTAAAATCAGACTAGTAGGAAGGACTATAAAGTAAGTACTTTGACTTGATTGGTATACTTTGAATAAGGCATAAAATTTGCTCCTCTGTAGGCGATGCTTAGAACTTGTGCTGGGCATTTATATCCCACTTACATACTCAGATTCGGTCTTTTAAACCTTGAACTGGACTTTCTGCTAAGTGGTGAGTTTTACCAAGATGAATAAGCTTTGGCCCATCAACATACCTGTGATTCAGCGAACGAAGGGGGAACAATAACAAACTTCGCCTGGCTCTCAACCTTGATATGATTTGCTTTATTTTATGTTGCTCAGAAGATTCATCTTGCAAGTTTCCCCAATAGGTAATGGCATAGCGTTCTGATTTTCCTTAGGGTACGTCTACACTACACAGCTATTTTGGGATACCTCCGGTCTTCACAACTACCCCGTGTCTTCACAAGCCACCTGTTAATTCGAAATATTTTCCAAAATAACGGGCACACTATTTCAGCATCCGGTAACCTTCGTTCCATGAGTGATAAGGGGTGTCTCGAATAGCGCATTATTTTGAAATGTGGAGCTATGTAGACGTGCCAAATTTCGAAATAGCCTATTTCGAGTTTAGGGTGCTGTGTAGGCACACTCAGTGAACCATCTCTGAATTTAATAGCAATATTATGCCCTCAAGCATCCTCATAGAAGGGCAGAATGGGCAGAAATAGAAACGCTCCGCAAGTTTGGTTGGCTGAGGAACATTACTGTTCCCTTTCTGCAGTGAGGTTTGACAGTAGCCTAGTAACTAGGTGTAGCCAAAATATTGATTGGGTTTCTAACCTTGCAAAGTCTGCCTCCTGCATAGAGACAGTTTGTATCAACAAACAAAGCAGCCCCTTGCTGCCGCTCTATGTTTAGTGCCATGCATCTTTCTAAAAAGAAATAGAAAGGTAATTACTTGGATATTTATAGAACAATTTAAAACATGATGCACAGCAAACAGACCCATTTGTCCTCTGCAGTGATTCACCAATGATTGGATTGTATTTTTAAATTCCTGCTCACACGAATGCATGGCTGGATTTTTGACTCTTGTATCTGCCAAGTGGCAGCCAGACACCAGAGCAGACATAGACAATTAGCCGGGTCTCTCATCGCATGGCTGGACTTTCTGTGTGGTCCTGTTCTTTACAGCTGCTGCTATCTGACCCAGGACCCATGTGGTGCACAGGAAACAACTGTTGGTCAAAATAGAGCTGACCAAGCCACGAGAAACTGAGCTAACCTGAAAGTTACTCTTTAGAGTTACTACAGTTTCTTCCCCTTTTGGGAAATGCACGGGGGAGCCTATCTTGCCTGCACTGCCAGTTCTTAAGTTTGCCAATTGGTGGTCAGACATGAGAGCA